TTTAGCATCCCCTTAAAGTTGAAAAGGTGAAATTGATTAACTGTGTCGGACAACTCATGAACATAGACCCCATATACCAGAGATCTCGCATACCCGAAAGATTTCTTGATAGATATCAAGAATCCACTTAATGTTACAACATCAAATATCACGTTAGAAGATAAAAAAATGCAAAAAATATCAATGACGACACACTACTAGAGCCAAGGTCATCGACTACGATTGCGCATGTGGAGATTAACTAAGAAGAACAAAGATGGTCACTTTTAAACTGCACGACCGACCAAAGTTATTCATTGCCTGTCCAATGAAATTCATAGGAAACTCGGTGAATTTTGTTTAGACGAAATCGAACGGACTGATATGCAATGCGTGAGGGCTAAAACAGAACGTCGCCGGGGATCCTCGATGGGCAATTTCGTCGGCGAAAGAAGTGGCTAAGAACGAGATGGATTGGGAAGTGGAGCGGCCGGCCTTTTCCTGGTTTTACTACTTCATCATCTCCGTCCTGAGAAGCTTCCTGCTTGCCAAGCGCATGGAACTTCCTCTTTGCCGTGAATGCTCTCTCTCTCTCTCTCTTCCTCCCTCCCTCTCTCCATCCCTCCATCCCTCTCTCTCTCTCCCTCCCTCCCTTCCTCCCTCCCTTCCTTTCTCCTCCCTCTCTCTCTATCTTTTTCTCTCTCCCAGCTCCTTCCTTTATCACATTTTTCTCTTTTCTGCGTTTATCCCAATGTCTCGAATCTAGTCAAAGCTTCTTCATCGCGCACCTGTCAATTCACCGGCTCGCATATGTGCGCACCAATAGAGGCACAAGTATCTTTAGACAGATATTCATGGCATCTTCGATGAAAGAAGGCGTATTAACGAATATGACGCACCGACACGACATCGACTAGCACTAATACTGTTTAATTAAATTTTCTCGATGTCTTCACGCTATATAGATAACGGCCACACAACGAAGGGAGACTCGCACACTGTACATCAGCGAGCGAGTGGGTGACACGCGCCGGTAGCGGACACGTTAACATGTCGTATAACGTGAGCGTGTAAATTAATAATGGGAGAGAAATACGGCGCTAGAAACGAGACAGGGGGTGGGAGGGGGGGGAAGGGAAAGAAAGACGGATCAGAATAGAGATGGGCCTAATATGTAACATTATATATGTTTATGCGGGTGTGCTTATGCGTTTTGCGTGCTTGCGCGTGTATACGCGTGTGCATGTGTAATTGTATGCGCGTGTATTGGCACCTAGGTGACACCCCGGACACGTACGGACAACGTTCGCGAGACGGAGGACAGAGCGAGAACGGAATCGTGAGAGGCACTGCTGGTCCCACTGTCGCCACACCGACGTTGCGTAAAGCGCCGTGTCGCCGGCAAGACGGCCCGCGGGACGATAGGAGGGATTGCCGCTGGCAGGCGCAGGCGTCAAGCCAGAGTCGAGACCCGGGTCGATAGTCCGCAACGTCGTTCCTCCCTTGCCGGCCGGCTGGCACTATTCGCTGGCACTTTCTCTCTCTTTCTCTCTCTCTCTCTCTCTCTCTCTCTCTCTCTCTTCATCCCTCCCTCACCCTCCCTCTCCCTCCCACCCCCTCACTCTCTCTCTTTCGCTCACTCTCTTCGTCTCTCTTTCTCTCCGTGCTGCTGCCACCGCATCGCTAAATTCCACGCAGTGGCGAACCGGCGATCTGGGGTGCGCGAAACCTCGAGGCGCAGAAATTCGATTCACACTTTTCAAGGATTCATCAATCATTGACGTAGCGGTACTCTTTTTAATACCGAAAAAATTCCCCGGTGATTTAAAAGATTAAAAAAAACCGACCTATATAATTATCCGGTGAGTTCGATTTCTCTCTTGTTCCTTTTTGTATCCTCTCTTATGTATCGATTATCGAGCGTGTAACATTTCGCTTGCGCAAAATTTAATTCAAAATTCCTCATTTGAATCTTGAGATTTCGATTGTGCATTGTGGTAAAACTTCAGTTGGTTCTTCGTCGCGTTGCAGGATTAGGATTAAAAGAGATATCAATCAAGATGCAGTCAATGAGCGTTATTAAAATCGATTATTATAGACAAATGAGCCTAGATAGAGTAGCAACATCAGTCGGCTACGGCTCCGAGATACCACAATTCGTTATCGACTTCTTCATCCTCTCCAAGTCTCTCTCATCGCTCTCTCGTATCACGGTTGCGTTCATTTTAATACATTTCAATATGTGCTATATGCCCTCCTCTCCTTTCCCTCCCGCTTTCACTTTTCCTCGCCCACTTTTTCGCTCTTGCAATTCCCTCCTTCGTTTTGCAATTACCATTTGGTCTAGCATCTATTTTCTAGGCAACTCTTTTCGCTTGCCTGCCCATATTCCGCCATCTCATACACACACCCCCCCGCGCGCGTGCACGTTAGTCGACGTGGAAGTAGTTCCGAATTGTTGGAATCCACGTTGGAAAGGTAGCAGTTCAAGTTTCTTGCGGTAATTCTTAGTTTCGCCAGTCGCTTTCAAGTCTTATATTCGATAGAGTCGCCTAATGCTCGCACACACACATTCCGACTTCCTTTCTTCCCAACTTATCCCTTTAGTTTTAATCTCGCTAGTGTACACTGACAATGCTTGCCTAGTGTCAAGCCATAAAGATAAATCTGAAGGAGACACCGCGAAATTGTCTAATACTCAAGAAGCGCCACTTGATGGGATTTGTGTTAAAGAAAATTTAACTTTAGATCAAGATATGTATACTTCTCAATTTTGTCATTGATTATATCCCGAAAATCTTATTCGTCGTTACGCGTTCCTCATTCTGACGACATTTGGATACATTGTATTTAATAATTAATGTAGAAAATTTAATTTTCCCTTCCCTTTCATTTATAACGAATCTAAATTAATACATTAAAAATTATTCTACCCAGTTTTCTTCAGCTTCTTTCAACAACTTTATCATCCATTTCATTATCATTTTTGTATACGAGAACATTAAAATGTAAATGTACAGTGGCGGACAAAATGGTTGCGACACTTTTTTTTTAATGAGGAATATTTTGTTAGATGGCCATTCCGAGACCACTTTGAACGTTTCCAATCTATTTTTCTAGTAAAATTTTCCTCAAAGAAAATGGTTTGGGACATAAACCTGAATCTATCATAAACGCCCGTTCCTAAACTCATTTAAAAAAAGTGTCGCAACCATGCTGTCCATCACTGTACCGCACGCACGCACAAGCACATACGCATTTCCATTTTGTTATCAATGATCGTGCAATTTACATGTTAGTTTCTTTACTAGTCATCACGACTGATTATTACTTTTGCATTTCATTGCCCCCTTTAATTTCTTTTGTATCAACTCTTTTCCTTTCGCGGTATACACGTCATCCCTAGTTTTATATCAAACGATGCTATCGCTGTGATACTATTGCGATGCCAAGTACATAAAAGACAATTGCCGGATGTACTAGGTGCCGGTCATGTAACTATGGCACTGCGTCATCAATGCTCTACTTGCACATAACTGTATCTGGAATTGTTGTTTTGACAAATTTTGGATCTTAATGTCTCAGAAATAAAAACCACAATAAAAATATCTATTGATGTCTATTGATATTTTTATTATACATTGTATAATATACTCGGCAAATTTTCGTTTATCGTCATTCCGAGTGAAATTGCAGTCAATCCCGTGATTGTTCGTGAAAAGCGTCACTTCGACAATATCAGATTCAGTTACGGTATATACGCATAAATGTAAAATAATTTCTCCCTCAAGGAATACTTAATAAAACATTATTTCAGGTTCTTCCATTTCACGTACGTACATTAGAAATCACCGATGCCTTCTCATATGAATTTAGACACGTGTAAAATACGTATACATTTTCCATATATGTATGTGTATAAATGTGCAAATGCATAAATGTGTTGATACGTGCACAAATTCATGTGGAAAGGTGTCAGTGATTCCTAGTGTACATACATATGCACGTATGCACGTACATACGCACAGGTACATATGCAAAGGGTTTGACAATTTCTGATTTTTCACGCAAAAATTATTATATATGAAAAAAACAATAATAAAAAATGTTTCGCAATAAATTTAGAATAAAATATTTAGACACTAGCACCCTGTCACGGCTTTTAGTCCTTTATTCCTTCAAATTTGTGTTTATCACATTTGAGCCATGCGAATTTTATTAATTTAATAATAAGTGATTATATATTATATTTTATGAATACCAAATTTTATTATTATATTATATCGCGAGATATATATATGTATACATATATACAGGGTGTTAAAAAAAGTTTAGATAGTACTGATATTATAACTTTATTTACGGAGTTATAAACAGTCGGGAATTTTTGAAAGAATTCACAATTCTGTGGTACGAAGGTGTGAAGCACCTGGCGTGTGGAAACGGGAGGACATGTAGAAAACCTTTTGTAAACTTTGGAGTTTGAATTCTTTTTCTTCTTCTGAATGAGTAAAATTTACTTTAACCACAATACAAAAATTGTTCATAATTACGAAAATATTAATTTTCCGACGTACGTTTATCGGGATTTTTAGCTCTATTTCGTGAGTACTATCTATTTTTAAAGTCCTGGATCCTCTTTTTAACACCTTGTATAGATTAATTATGTCAATTTATTATGGTTATTATTAAGCTAGTGCTACAGCCTAATCGAGCCTTGCCTTCCACAATTATGTCAATTTATCAAGTTTAAAATTTTTGACAAATACAATAAAAACTGTCTCTTTCTAAGGGGACAGTTAGAAAGAGACAAAGCTACTCACTCTTTTAGCATTTTCACTATAGTGTGAGATACAGAATTGACCGCACGATTTACGACATAGTTTATTTAAAAAACTTGCATTGCTAAACCAAATTGCTTTAATTATATTATGAAAGCTTCCTTAACGCTGTTCATTTTTTAATTTCAAAGAGAATTTGCACAATTTGGGACGTACAATAACTGACAATGAAGCATACTGCGATAAATAAGGTTTCTTATGTTTGGAGTAAGTATTTGGATCATTTTTTTCAGTAAAACCTTTGTTGCCCGGCAGTGGCGTAACTACCACCCGGGAAGCCCTGGCACGGTCTGGGGGCCCCAGCTTAGAAGGGCCCCCTAAATATTCTGGACTGTTACGGTCGAAAGAATTGGTCCCAAGCCCGTATAAGAAAAAAGGAGGGAGTTTTGTGTGAGCTATAGATTACTTACAGATAGCTAGATCAATGACAAATCTTGACTTAATCTTCTGTTCTATCCGTTTTTGTTGTCAAAAATAGGGGTTTCGTTTCCATTTGAAAATTTCAAGTTGACCTTCTAATGATCCCTAAATTTGACCCCTATATAAAGGGCCCTATTCAATTTTTGCCCGGGGGCCCCCAACATTGTAGTTACGCCACTGTTGCCCGGGATTTCCGGTTTTTCATTTTGAACTATTGTTGCTGTCTGTAGCACGGCCCCATCAAACGATAACTCACGCAAAACTATCAAAAATACTTGTCTTGGCAACTTTAACGGAGGTTTTCGCGAAACTTGACGCGATACGCCATTTTTACGGCCAGATTCGTTTTAAGCGAAAAATTCTTCAGAAAATACATTTCATTTATAAGTTTATGGAAAATCTTCTTTCAGCATTAGAACCAAAATATAGGCAAATTGATAATGTAACACATGCAAAGTATGACTAAAGTCAATTCTTTTTAAATGTTGTTAATAGTACGTTAAAGATCAATTTTCTTTCTTTTTTTTCAACACAAAGATGTCATGGAATTGGAAGCTTTGCTATTATATAGACAGGTACTAGCCCAGAATCATTTAAAAACCTTATACAGAAGACGAATTCGTAAAACCTTATTCGAATTCAGCAGGAAGAAGACGAATTGGGTTCACTCCCATTCGGCGCTCTCTTTGACAGAAAATCGAAATAATTTTGCTACTCTGTCGTGCATTTGCGAGATAGTATCTTTAGCAAGCCCTTTGCTATTCCGTTCTTGTCCCGTATATGCTCCTATCTACGTTTTCTTTCTACGGCTTCCTCTTCCGTGTTTGCATCTCCGTTGCTTCCTGTCCATCGTTCGTTGTGCTCGTCACGTATCCGGCGCCACGACGTCGAGCCAGCGGCGTCGGCGACACGCCGCCGCGCCGGTGTGCTCTCAGCAACCGGATCGGGTCGTCGCGATAGGTACATTCAGAATCGAACCACGTGACGAACCTCGTGACAACGAGAGAGAGAAAGAGGGAAACGCGAAATAAAATTTTTCATAAAGTTGAATTTTCTAATATAAATTTTTCTGTTTGCAACGCGCGTAATACAACGAAGATGCGAGCATATAAGTGAACGTATAGTTGGTTACTTTATGCCTCTGCATTTTCACAGTTTCCCACTATTTAGGGGCTGAATTATAAATAGCATATGATGCATATTTTCTGAGAGGTAGACACTGCTAACAACAAAACGCGCCACTTATTAATTTTTCGATGACAAAAATCGATAGAACTCTGCGGGGGCTACCGGGAACTCTCAACAGAACTGCCGGAACTGTTCAAAAATTTTTTCGAGTCTTATAAGACAGAAACTGTCACCTTGCCATTAGGATTTTTGATGGAACTCTGAGGGGGCTACCGGGAACTCTCAACAGAACTGCCGGAACTGTTCAAAAATTTTTTCGAGTCTTATAAGACAGAAACTGACACCTAAAATCGCCCATAACTTTTTCCCCTTTGATCACACAGACTTTTGCCATTAGGATTTTCGATAGAACTCTGCGGGGGCTACCGGGAACTCTCAACAGAACTGCCGGAACTATGCGATTTTAGGTGTCAGTTTTTT